CTAGAGTGTGTAAATAATGAAATCGATTGGGTTTTTATTTTAAACAAAAAAAATTGGTTTGATTCATCTAATCTATTAATTTAGTTCAATCTGAATTTCGGTTAGACTTTTTTGATTTTCTGAATTTTTGGTTAATGAAAGTAGTATTTAAATCTATTATGGATGGATTAGTATGATTTTGGTTTTAGTTAGATATATTATTATCAATTTTGAAATAAATTTCTGATTTAGATACTCTCTGTACTTTTTTGTATGTTAAAAGGATCTTCCGGATGGAGATTATTGGGCAATGCACAAATCTGGAGAGAAGGAGAAAGATAAGGTAGGGAAAGTGATCTTTAATGGCATCACCAACTATAGGGGATGGATAACAGCATTAGCATATGGCTATTGTTTTGGAGTAGAGCTCACAATAGACAACATCATCGCGGAATATTTCTTCGATAGGTTCCATTTGAATCTCAACACGGCTGGGATTATAGCCGCGAGTTTTGGTCTTGCCAATTTTTTCGCTAGACCGGGAGGAGGAATATTCTCGGATCTAATGTCTAGACGGTTTGGGATGAGAGGAAGGTTGTGGTCTTGGTGGATTGTGCAAACACTAGGAGGTGTGTTATGCGCAGTTCTTGGCCAAATTTCTTCGTTGCCATGGTCTATAGTTGTCATGCTCATCTTCTCTGTATTCGTCCAAGCTGCTTGCGGACTTACTTTTGGCGTTGTTCCGTTTATCTCTAGGAGGTAAAGTTTTTTTTTTCTATTGTATCACCGCAAAATTCACATGGAAATTGTAGTTTTAGAAATTACTATGGTCGTTCGTTGGTCTTGAAAGTCGACTAGTAATCTTAACCTATTTGCTCACAAAAAGTTGTTTTTGTTTTGGTTATGTAGATCTCTTGGCGTGGTGTCGGGAATGACAGGTGCGGGAGGGAATGTAGGTGCGGTCTTAACCCAATTGATATTTTTCAAAGGTTCGACATACTCGAGAGAGACGGGTATAACTCTAATGGGAATAATGACAATCGCGTGCACGTTGCCAATTTGCTTTATATACTTTCCGCAATGGGGAGGTATGTTTTGTGGACCTTCCTCCAAAAAAGTAAGTGAAGAAGAGTATTACCTCTCCGAATGGAGCTCTAAAGAGCAAGAAAAGGACTTACATCTCGCAAGCAAGAAATTCGCCGAAAACAGCGTTAGCGAAAGAGGCCGAGCCACAACTTATCCTCAAACTTAATAAGTTCATGGCTTTTGTGTTTGTTTGTTTTTATTGACCGTTGAGTCTGGTTTTTTCTTTTTCTTAAGGGGTATCAAGAACTCTATTTCTTAATTTTCTTTGTAACTGTGTGAAGTTGTGTATGTGATGTAAAACCTACCGGTTACTTCTCTTGTTGGAGTACTTTTGCGAATGTTTGTTCATGATAAAATGAACCAACTCTTTATATAATTTTTGTTTTTGTATTGTGAATAACTAGGACTCGAACCTCCGCGAAATCGCGGGAGAGAAAAGTTATTTGTTAAAAAAAAGATTAAAAATATATTTAATATGATAATAAATAAGTATACAATGTAAATGTAAAACATTTTTTAATGGTAGAAATAAAAAGATGAAAAAGTATATGCAAACATACGACACTACAAAATTTTTTAGAATTATGAAAAAATTTGTTATAAATGAAAATACCAAAAAATTATGAGAATGTGACACAATCATATAATGAATTAACAACAACAAACGAGTTTTCCAAATAAGACACAACTATATGATTAATTAATAACTATAAAACTTTTTTCTCGAAAAGAGACCGCCGGATAAGATTCATTAATAACTATTAAAATATATTTTTTTCCAAAAAGACGCAACTCTAAAATGTATTAATAACCATAAAATGATTTATTCTCGAAAAGACAAAACTCTATAATGCATTATATTTACAAAACGGTTTTTTTTAAAAGATGCAACTTTATGATGTATTAATAACCATAAAATCTTTTTATGAAACTATTAAACCATGTGAAACATAATAATAATAAAACAGTTTTTTGAAAAGATGCAATTTTACATAGACCAATTTTTTTAGAAGACGCAATCCAATGTTGTATTAATAACCATTTAACGAAATTTCTAGAAAAGATACAATCCTAAGATGAATTAATAACAACAAAACAATAATTATTCAGAAATACAACCTTACAATGCATTAATAACCATAATTTTTTTTTTTGGAAAAACGCAACCGTAAGAGACATTAATAACTAAAAATAATTTTTTTGAAAAGGCACAAATCTAAGAGACACTAATAACCATAAAACAATTTTTTCGAGAAGTTGAAACCGTAGCATTAGTAACCTAGAATGTAAACTATCAAAAAGTTTTTCGAAAAGATACATCTTTACATAAACCAATTTTTTTTCCAAAAATACGCAATCCTAGGATGCATTAATAACCATAAAACCAATTTTCTCGAAAAAACGCAATCCCTGGATGTATTAATAACCACAAAATAGTTTTTACTAAGAAGACGCAATAAAATCATGTATTAATAACCATAAAATAGTTTCTTTGAAAAGCTACAGTTCTCAGAGACATTGCTAACCAAAAAAAGATCTAAAAGACGTAACCCTTAGAGATTAATAACCATAAAATATTTTTTTGTTTTAAAAATCCTAAGAAACATTAGTAACCGTAAAAAAAAATTTTAAAAAGACTCACCCTAAGAGACACTAATATTAAAACGTTTTTTTTTTAAATGCGTAATCCTAAAAGACACTAATAACCATAAAATATTTTTTCTAGAAAGACACAACCCTAGCGCTAATAACCATAAAACAATTTATTTTTGAAAAGAAACAACCCTAAAATATATTTTCCAGGATTGATATTATTGATACACATGATCCTTCAAATAATTTTCTAGAATTATTATTTAAATAAAGAAACAAAATATTGTGAGACTCAAAAACAATTTTTGACGTTTTTTATCACATCATATTTTGAGTGAATTTTAAAGTTAGTAGTCATCAATTAAAAATGTTCAATGAAACAATTATATAGAGTTAGAAAAACACAAATCTATATAGAGAAATTTTTTGAAAAGATGCAACCATAGAGATTAAAAACCATAAAACGTCTTTTTCGAAATGGCGTAACCCTAAAAGACACTAATAACCATAAATGGAATATCTTGAAATGATGCAAACCTAGCATTAACAACCATAAATATAGGTCAAACGGTCTTTTTCTGAAAAACGCAACCTTGAAAATAACCGTATAGTGGTTATACTGAAAATACGCAATTTTTGAAAATCGGTTACTTTCGAAATGACGCTACCATAAAGCAGTTATATTGAAAATGCGCAGCCCTTGGAAATAACCATAAAATGGTTATATTGAAAAAACGCAATCTTTGAAAATAACCGTAAAACTATTATTTTCGAAAGAACACAACCATAAAACGGTTATCTACATATTAAATGTAATTTTTGGAAATAATTAGAAAGCGGTTATATCAAAAAGACGCAATTTTTGGAAGTAACCATAAAAAGGTTTTTTCCTAAAGGACACAATCTTAAACCATAAAGCGGTTATATAAAAAAGGTAAATTTTGTAAAGCGGTTATATAAAAAAGGCAACTTTTAGAAATAACTATAAAACGGTTATATTGAAAAGACGCAATTTTTGAAAATAACCAATAAACGATTTTTCTGAAAAGTCGCAATTTTTAGAAATAACTACAAAGCGGTTATTTTCGAAAGAACACAACCATAAAGCGGTTAATATAGTAGATGCAATCTTTGAAAATATTCATTATACAGTTATATCAAAAAACGCAACTATTAAAAAACGGTTATATCAAAAAGACGCAACTTTAGAAATAACCATTAAACGGTTATTTTCGAAAAGACACAACCTTAAATAACCATAAAGCGGTTATATCGAAAATCTAACTCTTGTAAAATCGGTTATATGGAAAAAAACGCAATCTTTGGCCCAAAAAAAACCCGTTTTTTCTTCCTCACTCATTTCACGGAGTGGAACCATAACTATTCGTCTATCCAATAGAACAATTCATGGATTTTTACGCCATTTAAATTGATTCATTTGTAATTTAGCATTTTTAAATCGTCCAATGCATATAAAAAATATAGTTGATAACCAAATTGCTTGTGGATGCCTCTATTTTGTAGTAATGTTAACGCGGCTTCAATATTTCGATGTATACAACCCTTAAAAACTTTTTTCAAATATAAAGAATCAATATTTCTGTAGAGAATTGTTAAATCTTAAAATTCACTATATGTACCACCTATTTTCGAGAAAAATATAGTTGGAGATTTTATTAGTTTTTGTATATGTAAAATTTGCCATAAAATCTGCATTGTCGAAAAAATCCAAAATTCTTTACACAAATCAAGAATTTTCAGAATTTCTGCAATAGTAAAAAGATTAATACTATTAAATAATTTAAAAATAATCGAACGATGTTTTTTATCTTTGCTATGTGTTAAGTAAATTATAGAATTAGTTGGCATGATTAACAAAATGGTCAACGAGATAAAAGGTTAAAAG